ATTAAGAGAATTAAGCTGTCCCCTTGTGCTTATTGCAGAGACCTGTTTATTTTTCCTACTTTCATATACGAAAGAATGAGCACGTCAATGAACAACGCCACTGAAAAAACCCTTCTGATAACAATAGAGGTTAAAAATAGTCAATTAAAAAAGAAATAGTCGATTATCGGCTTTATGTTGGGGGCGAATAGAAATGTTATAATCTAACCCATGATTCAGAAAACGGACATCGTATGTCGATGATCAAACAAGAAATTTTCCAGGCAAGAAATGTTACCAATCCTTCTTAACTAGCCATACGCTTATCATCATGCGGGCTAAATAAAACCTCTGCGTAACGTGAGAAAATCCAACAATGTCACTTCAAGGATGACAAGAACTTTCAAATCCTAAGTTGGTTTCTTACTAAGAAACCAAGACGACGGTTAGACAACAGGCTGCAGCACGTATGGGACGAGGAAGGGCCTGGGGGGACTGTCTCTGGTCCACAGTAGCTGCACTAAACCGCTGTGTGTGCGCCCACAGGGGGGCTCCAGGGAGGAAGGGCCGAGGACAGGTGAGTGGTGGCTTTTTCACTTCATTATTCGGAAGCAATGGTCCTAAATGGGGCATCAGCCCCTTGAGACAATCTTCAGTGACATGACGTCTTTAGTTCAAGTCTTCCATCTTGGATCCCTGGGTGGAACAGCGGTTGAGCATCTGCCTTTGGCCCAGAGTGTGACCCTGGGGTCCCGGGATCGAGTCTCGCATTGGGCTCCCTGCATGGAGCCTGCTTCTCCCTCTGCCTGTGTCTCTGCCTCTCTCTCTCTTTCTGTCTCTCAAGAATGAATGAATGAATGAATGAATGAATGAATAAATAAATAAATCTTTTTAAAAAAATTGTCTTCCCCTGTCACGTGGACGTGTGAGGGCACCCAGCATGAAGGGCATATTCCAAACCCCAGGTCACTGAGCTCCGGGAGGAAGCAGATGGAAAGGCGCTTGCCTGGCATCTGCATGGCAGCTCTGGTGGGCTTCCTGGAACCTCATGAATTTGGAAGGCACATTTCTCTTCAAATAATTAGTGGGGTCTTTCAAAGCGTACTGACGGACACATCCCTGCAACATGCTAAGTGAAATTAATCGCAGATAAGATAGATTTTTATCTCGGTGCAAGTGCATATACTTCCAAACTACCAGCGTTTTGAGACTTTCAGGCAATTTTGGCTTTCGCAGTAACGGGAAGGCCCCGAGCAGCCCTCCGTGGAGGTGCTGGCCCTTCCACCGGAAAACAAAGCAAAATGAAATCAAGGCACGGCCTCATCAGAAGGCCTGGGTAAACTCGTAGGTCACAGCACGTAAGTTGCTCCGAAGCTCCTAAGACCGGGCAGCAGATCGGGACCCGGCTTCGCAGGCCCGTGAGGCGGCAGAGATCCTCCCGGGATGCCCGGACAGCAGGCGGCGGGAGCCCCCGGGTGCCTCGGATTCCTGGGTCACAGTCCTGTCCCCACCGCTCCGCGCTCTCAGATGCGGGAGTGAGCTTCCCGAAAGCCACCGTTCCTAGTGGAAGCAATTCCCGGGAATAGGAGTTGCCTCGAGGGGCTGTGACAGGTCACCACGGGCAGGGGTCTCCCAGGGCCACGGGCAGGGACCTGCACATCGGAGACGGGTCCAGGGGACTGACGCCTGGCGTCCCGAAGCCGTGCGGGGGCCTCAGGGGGCTCGGACCCGTGCACCTCCCCCCGGGCAGGAGGCCCTGCACCGGCCCGGCATCCCTTCTCCTCCACCTCTGGGCCTTGTGGGGCCCACACGGCCCAGATGCCTGCCGCCCCTCCAGCCTCGGCCGTGTCCACAAAGGCCCCTCTGCCGGTGCTGCCGCCCGGGCTCCGGGAGTGGGACACACGTCTGCGACGCGAGGTGCAGTGGCCGGAGGCCCGGGTGGCCTGCCTGGGCATCATCGGAGCACAGGCAGGCTGCCCTCTCGCCACGCAGGCCAACCGCACCTTCTCTCCTCCTGCGGCAGTGACATCGGCAGCCGCCTCCTCCGGCAGGGTGGGAGCGACTCCCCCCGCCCCCTGCCTCCGACATGCAGGCCCGAGCCTGCCAGGAAGCCGGGCCTGCTCCAGGGCTGCCAGCGTCATGAGCCACCGAGCCTCCCCCACCGTGGCTACTATGAGCACCCCCCTCCCCCACGTGCAGACCCGAGCCTGCCAGGAAGCCGGGCCTGCTCCAGGGCCGCCTGCATCACAGGCCGCCAGCCAGCACAGCCATGTGGACACAGGCCGGCTGGGAACCAGCCGCGGGGCCCGGGCCACACTCACACGCACACAGGCCCCCGGGCCATGCGGGGCTCCTTCCATACCCACTGCCTTCCCGCTGCCCCATCCCTGAAACTTGGCCCCAAGGATAGCAAAGCAGAAAACACTGCCCGATACCTGTAAATATAAATTGGAGACGTATCCAGTTTGCTCGTGATTTGACATTGGTTCCATAATATGAGCTCCGAAAGAGGAAAGGAAAAAAATATTTTTGTTTCAGAAGATAAAGGGAAGGGAGCAAGAGCGCAGGGAAGGGCGGGGTGGGAGGAAGGCCTCGGCGGGGACCCCCTGGAGCCAGTGTGGGTCCCACAGACCAGCCGCTTTGAAAAATCAGCGAACGTTTCTTGCATCAAGAACCTTAGACATAGGGGATCCCTGCGTGGCTCAGCAGTTTGGTGCCTGCCTTTGGCCCAGGGTGTGATCCTGGAGTCCCGGGATCGAGTCCCACGTCGGGCTCCCTGCATGGAGCCTGCTTCTCCCTCTGCCTGTGTCTCTGCCTCTCTCTCTCTCTGTGTGTGTGTGTCTATCATGAATAAGTAAATAAAATCTTAAAAAAAAAATCATTTAAAAAGAACCTTAGACATCGAGGCCCAGAAAAAGAAGTACTTTGATCCCTTTTTCTTTTTTTCTGGTATACTCACAAGCTAAAAACCAGTTTTTGGACTTCTCCACATATAAAACATTATCAGATTTAAAACAACTAATACTGAAACTCTCTACTATGCGACTCACTGTTAAGCCCATGAGGTGCTTCAGAATAGACACACCCGTGTCTTGAAATTCCACTCCTCCTCCAGTGTCCTATCCGTGCTCACACCCACTCCTACCCACCTACCCACTCAGCCACACACAATCCACAAACGTCCTTGTCTTTCGGTTGTTGCTATATATTTTTTAATATTTTTTTTATTTATTCATGAGAGACCCAGAGAGAGGCAGAGAGGCAGAGACACAGGCAGAGGGAGAAGCAGGCTCCATGCAGGGAGCCCGATGTGGACTAGATCCTGGGACCCCGGGGTCATGACCTAAGCCGAACGCAGATGCTCAACCCTTGAGCCACCCAGGTGCCCTGGTTGCTATGTTTAATCATTGCTTTAGATTATTTTTTGGTAAATGGAAAAATCTTCCCAAATTCCTGCTATCTTCCATTCAGAGGCTCTATTGTACAAGTAGACCTGCTTTATAGAAATAAAGCTTATTTATTCTGTGTTTGTAAACCCCCCCCAAAAAAAATCATTCAGCTCGCCATCAAATATACAGCCACTTGCTTTTCTTTAATGAGAGTTCTGTGAGGGAGCAGGCTGAGAGGAAAATCCTTTTCCTTTTTGGTAACTGATTTGTCTTCGCTCAACAGACCACCTGTACCTTAGTAGGTGGTGGGACAGTGGAGGCCAAGGTGAGGAAGCCTGGCTCTCTCTCCCACAGCCATCCGCAGCATGTAATCCGGTACATGGGGCATCTCGTCACTCAATCCATAATCCGCTCATTCCACAAATATTATTTGGGGCAGTGGAATAGCAGAAGGTGAGAGAGCTAGAGTAAGACTCCAGGAACACGAGCTTAGAGGATAAAAGAAAGAAGTTGGGGATCCCTGGGGGGCTCAGCGGTTTGGCACCTGCCTTTGGCCCAGGGCGTGATCCTGGAGTCCCGGGATCGAGTCCCACGTCAGGCTCCCGGCATGGAGCCTGCTTCTCCCTCCTCCTGTGTCTCTGCCCCTCCCCCCCCCTCTCTCTCATAAATAAATAAATAATAAATAAATAAATAAATAAATAAATAAATAAATCTTTAAAAAAGAAAGAAAGAAGTTAACCATCTTTTATTTCTTCGGACAGAGAGAGCAGGGATGGGGAGGGGCACAGGGAGAGAACCTCAAGCAGGCTCCACGCCTGGTGCACAGCGCGACGTGGGCTCCACCTTACGATCCTGACATGAGCCAAAATCAAGAGTCAGAAGCTTCATCAACCAAACCGCCAGGTGCCCTCATTTTTTTTTTTTTTTTTTTGCATCTTGGTTTGAATATGAGCAGTCTTGTTCTTTCCTCCCCCAAAACCTAATGAATTCAAGAAAGGTGCAAGCTTGTTAACCAAGGTGTTTGTCAACAACGATGAAATATTTCCCTCTCCCTCGCCCACTTGAACATTTGATAAACCCACTTTCCAACATCTCCGTCCTATCAAGTCACATTCAAGGAACTTGCGTTTCCAGCAGTGGTTTTACACACACACACACACACACACACACAACTGCCTTTCTGCAGATTCACTTCAGATTGGATTGCAGACTACGTTTTACATAGAGAAGGATCACCGGAGACCTGGGAGTCAACGGTCTCATTTTATGGAGGAAGAACATGAAGTCCAGATAGACTGGCACGTGCCCCAGGTCCCCATTGAGAAGCTGAGCCAGTGAACTCTACAGAGAGCCCTAATTATTCTACTGCAATAGTCTGTTCGGTTTCTCTGCAGAAGATGCACACCCACAAGCTCCTCCTCCTCAAATCGGGAACTCTTGCCACGTTGAACTCAAAAGGCAGTGGCTGAGCAACCGAGCCCCTGGGGTCAGCCGTCCATCTCCTTAAGTGCTTCATCTCTTTGTGGTTCACGTCCTCAGCTACCCCAGGGACTGAGGAACAGAGAACTTCTCCACTAAAGCCAACGCAGATTCTCAAAGCTCACTACTTATAATTAAAGAGAAGTCAAGATATCAAAACAACCCTTTTATTAAAAACCATAGTGACGGGGCGCCCGGGTGGCTCAGCTGGTGAAGCATCTGCCTCCGACTCAGGCCGTGATCCCGGGGTCCTGGGATCGAGTCCCGCATCGGGCTCCCTGCTCAGGGGAGAGTCCACTTCTCCCTGTGCCTCTGTGATCTCTCTCGCTGTCTCTCAAATAAGGAAATAAAGAAATATAAAAAAAAATCAAAGTGACAAACTTGGATCAAAAATGCTTAAATATTGGGGATCCCTGGGTGGCTCAGCAGTTTGGCACCTGCCTTTGGCCCAGGGTGCGATCCGGGATCGAGTCCCACGTCGGGCTCCCAGCATGGGGCCTGCTTCTCCCTCCTCCTGTGTCTCTGCCTCTTTCTCTCTCTCTCTCTCTCTGTGTCTATCATAAATAAAAATAAATAAATAAATCTTTAAAAAAATACTTAAATATTTCCAGGAATCTAAAGAAGAAAAGCACTCCCTCTCCTTTCACGCCCCCTTTAAGAATAATGCGACTTCCAGTTGGTACGGAAAAATCAGCTGATGCAGACGGCGAGCGCCGAGAACTATTCAGGGAACGCGGGCCTGTCCGTGGACTACTCGTCACACTTATTTATGAAAATAGCTTGTTAATGACATCATCAGGCATCAGGATTTTGAGCGTGGGAGCCTGCGCACAAATGAAATCCTACTGTTTGCGATCGCATACTCGTTTTTCAAAAAAGAAAGAATTTTAAAGCATTTAGAATTAAAAGGGACCTTGGAAACTGTGGATAAAAAGGCGACAGGCTTTAGAGTGGGTATTTTGGTCCTTCGTAGGTGATGCTGCCGCTGTAGGCACTGGTCCTTACCTCCCGGGTCTTCCCCAGTCCGCAGAGGGTAGTCAGTACTGGGTTGCTCCGAGGACTGCAGACACATGAAACCCCTAGCCCGTCAACGGTGCTCAGGACCCGGGGCTCCTGCTAGTCGCAGTGCTTCTCAGTCCCCAAGCAGCCACGTGCCTGAAGGATGGATGAGCGGCAAGGGAATGAACGTGAACTAAGCCCTCCGCGCAGTCGGCGCTGGCCAGGTGACCTGCGCAAGGTGAAAGGCAACAGCCGTAGCTTCTTCTGTCGACCCCCGAGCACGTGCCAGCGGCCAACGAGGTGCTTGGATACATTATCTGATTTACTCTTCCCGAACGAATGCCCTGATGGGGTGGGAAGTGTCGTCTCAGTTGTACAGAACATCAGGGAGTCCGAGAGGTTCAGGCGTGTGCCCACGGTCCCACAGCTAACCAGCCGCAGGGCTAAGATGAGGAAGGAAGGACCGGACGTTGCCCTGAGCCCAAATGCACACAAAATGAACCGTGTCAGGAGGCGGGGACAAGAATCCAACAGTCTTCCCAGCACGAGCTCCCGAGGAGCCGGGCCTGGGGCTCCCTGCCCCGTGAACTCCGAGTCCAGGACAGTCCCTGGAACACAGTGAGTGCTCAGTGGGCACACGTGGGTCATGATGATGCAGCTGTGACGTGGCTGAGGAAGCAGCTCAGTGGGTACACGTCGGTCATGATGGAATGCAGGTGGCAACGTGGCCGAGGAAGCAGCTCCTCTCCAAGCGGAGTCCTCGTGCCGAAGAGTAAATGCAAGTGGTGGAGGGCTCACAACCGTGCACGAGGAGCAGCAGTCACGGACGGCCCTGACCTTCGTCCATCTCTGACGAGGACTGTGTCCAGAGCGCTCTCCACCACTACAGGGTCACCTCAGTCACCAGCATCCCCCTAAGACGCAGCGAGCAATGAAGAGGATCCACCTGTGTAGACACACACACCTCCGTATTTGGGGGACGGCTTAGATCCACACTGCTGTGTGTGGCATATGGAAAAAAATATTCTCCACGAATGTCGTAAAAGTGAATCTAAACCTTAGTTTTCTTTCTCTCTTTTTTTGTTTAAAAAGTAACCCCTGTGCCCAACATGGGGCTCGAACCCACAACCCCAAGATCAAGAGTCGCCCACTCCACAGACTGAGCCAGCCAGGTGCTCCCAGCTTCGTTTCTTTTTATTCAAATCACATCTCTCGCTTAAAATTCACGGCAAAATAAACCCCCGGCCCCGTTGGATCTGTGCAGCCCCACGTCCAGCAGGGGAGCCTCAGCGACCTGAGAGCTTGCTCTTTGCGGGGTGGAGGGAAGCATTAGAAAAACGCAGAGAGCCGTGGTTTCGGAGAATTTTCAAAGAAAGACATCCCTTTGGCCAAAGCTAAATTCCCCACAGCCGGCGCCGATGTCCCCGCAGCCACATCCAGGGGCCACCCACGTCTATGCTTTTCTTAAGCAACGGAGTTCATTCTGACAGTTTATCTACTACGAGCCGTGGAGAAAAATGCCTCTTCATTTTCCATATTCTGTTTGGCAAACAAAGCATGACACATAGCAATATAAAAGAGAAATATAATCCCAGGACGCGCGTGCAATCCTGGCAGGGAAGGGCTGCGGATGGTGTGAGGCCCGCGGCGCCGGCCTTCTGAACAGCGTGCAAACACTGTCACCTGCTGTTCATCCGTGGGTCCTGCAGGCGCGGGCCCGCTGCCTCGCCTCCGAGGCAGGATGAGTCACAGGCCGGGTTTATGAGCTATTCCCGCTCTGAAGCACCAACTGGCCTTGAGAAAGAGACGTGCACCAACCTTAAGAATTAGTAATTCTTTACGAATTAACAATCTCTGCTTAGGAGTCAGCGGAACACGCCGGTGCATTCACGCTGAGCTCTCCCTGGGAGCATATTGTTGCCTGTAGGGAGGGTAGAGGATCCACCAGGAGGATGCCAGACATGATGGACTGAATTCGCTAATGTGTGTTTGAATTTTGCTATTTTACACATTTCGTATTCTCTGTTTACCAGAGCAGGCTGCGCAGGAACCGTGCCCTCTGAATGGATCAGCCCCAGTCTCTCTTCACATCCTCTAAAGAAAAGGATGCACGCTTCTTCCAAAGGCAGTGCGACGTCCAGACACCCGTAAGGCACGTCGGGGTAGGGGTCATGCCAGATTCCGTTTTGTCCTTTTGTGCCTGATAAGGGAGGAGAGGCTGAGAAAAATCCCCGTGGGATGAATAAACGGAGGAATACAGTGCACAGTTCAGAACTTCAGATATTTCTAGACAATGACCAGCACATCCTCCAACCCCCGTGCACTTCTACTCTCCCTTTTAATGAAAATAACATCTATAGGAAAAGATTCAAAACTATCCATCCCCTGTATCCCCTCTTCCCATACTTGGCAGCAGTATCAACCAAAGTCAAGGCACCAAAGTTCCTTATTGATTCTAGTTACTTTGACCAGAAGAGCTGAACGAGGGCGTGAGACCCTATGTTCTCACCCGAAGTCCCTAATTCTAACAAAATTAAGCATAAAATATCCCAATTAAAAACATCTAAGTGGACAGGGCACCCGGGGGGCTCAGTCGGCTCAGCTTTTGACTTGGATTTCAGCCCAGATCCTGATGTCAGGGCTGCGGGACGGAGCCCGCGGCAGGCTCCGTGCCCCGCGGAAAGTCGGCTGCAGAGCCTTCCTCTCCCTCTGCCCCTGCCCTTCCCCTCACTCGTGCTCTAAACAAGTATCTTTAAAGACAAGCAGAAGTGGTAAACTGGAATAGAATCTTAGGCAGCATGACCTCACCATGAACTCACTTTGCTCCTTGATCCGTTGACTCAAATACTTAAAAATCTCTAAGTGTGACCGGTCTCATCTTCAACTGGGAACCACTAACTCAAAGGGTCCTGCGCGCCGCTTAGCTGGCCTACTACGTTCCACTCGGTTCGCTCCCCCGATGACGACTCTATACCTCTCCTCCCCTCCAAACCTTCAAAATCTCCAGCCCGTCCTCCATCCCAGCCAATTGATCACCTTGCTTCTGGTTTTAGTTTGAAAACGCATCAACCAGAGGACACCCATGGGCCTCCCTGTGAAGACGCCACCCTAGCTCCACCTGTGCCCCCTGCTCTGCCTCCACCCCGTTCAGTCGGGGACCAGCCGGCCGTCCTCAGAGGCCCCGTCCTCCACCTCCTCCCCTCCAGCTCCAGACCCTGTGTTACGGAACTGCCTGACCTTGGTCTGCCTCAGGTCTCTCCTTCCTCTAGACTCTTCCATCAGCACACACACGTGCTATATTAAAAATACAAGACAAGACACAATCTAATCTCCTTCTGTAGCCTCTTGCCTACACCGCCCCCCCCCCAATAGAAACATCCTCTAAAGAACTCCTGAAACCATTCCATTCCCAATACAAGTGATATTGCCCTCAATGGGCAAAAACTGGCTCTTACAGGGTGAAAAATTCTTACTCTTTTTATGCATAAAACAAATATATATATTGTCAAATATATATTATCAAATACATATATATTATGTAACAAATATAAACCATATCAGTAATACCAGAATCTCATTGGGGTGAGGGAAGAACAATTAAAAAAAATGTCTAAAAAAAAATGTCTAAAGAAGCTCCTTAAGGGAGGTAATAATGAAATAATGAAAATAAGTTTGACAAACACTGGTCTAAACCCAGGATTTCAATGCCTTCTCTTCCTGTTTTTCTCAAGCCTTCTTTGATCTGTTTTTCATCCCCAGAGCCCCCCCCCCGCCCGTAAACTGCTGTCAGTGTCACCCATGCCTGCCATATTCCTAACTCCAATGGCCAATCCTTAAACGAAAGTGTGGACACTATTTGACACAGCTGACCACTTCCTCTTTCTTCAGACACTTTCTTGGCACCATTCATGAATGTGTGACTCTTCTCCCTACCTCTCTGAACCCTTGAGATCTGATATCAGGAGCAGAACTGATGCAAAAAGTAAGGATTCTTGTACGTCTGGACGGTAACCAGTCCGACACACCAGCGATCCTGGTATAGTGTCCTTGATCTAAGTCAGATCCTTGATCCTAGATTAGACCTCCTTGATCTGAGTCAGATCGCGCCATTCCTTCAATGGCTTTCCGTCTCTCGTAGAGTAAAAGCCAACGTCTTTATCACAGCACAAAGCCCTCCTCTGCTAGGCCTTGCTTCCTCTCCGCCCTTGCCTTCCACCACGGCCCCTTCTTGAGACTGTACGCCAGCCACGCTGGCTTCCCTGAGAAACTGCTCATTCTTTGGGCTCTTCTACACGCGGCCACTTCTGCTTGGATATCCCTTCAGATACTCTGTGGCTCACACTTCCACTACCTTCAGGTCTCTGCTGCTCAAAACTCACACTGTCCCAGAGCTGCTCACACTGCATACAGTAGTTCCCCTTGTCAATTTTTATTCTCCCCATCCCGCTTCATTTTCTTTCCCAGAACTTACTATTGTCTCTCCTAGACATTTCTTTATTTCTCCTCCTCTCCCTGGACTAGGATATTATGGGTATTATGTCTCCTTCTACTGGAAGAAGAGCTCCTGGAGGCTTTTATTGTTCGGTTCACAGCTATAATTGAAGCATCCAGGTACTGGCACATAGTCAAAGTTCAGTAAATATCTGTGTGATGATAAATCTTATTTTAACATCTAAATAAAAGACTACAACTACCACTTTTTAACAGATAAAAAACTGCATTTTAATTTCCCTTCTTGAAATACAATCTCACCATCTCATTGGCCTATGGCAAATAAAACTATAAGATGCAAAAAAAAAAAAAATCTAACGACTCACAGAAATGGAAAGAAACTGCTTTGGCTAGAGCGGTTTTCCTTGGCTATTTTGTCATGGGAGAAGTTTTAGGAGAGGCCAACATTTAAATAGCTTCTCAAACCAACAGAGACTTCGATGCTGATAAACACAAAATGGCTTTTTAGATGATGTCGCTCATGGTTTCTAGAAGCAAACATTCAAGTCGAAATGAGCAAATGTCAGACTCTGGACACAGCGTTTTGGAAGAATGACAGAGGATCCAAATGTCTGGTCAGCATAGAGCCATGTCTTGTAAATCTGGTACAACGAATAAGAAACTACTTAAACGAGATCCATTCGTGAAAAAGAAAAACACGCTCAGGAGACAGTGTATCCATGCAGAATGCTGGTATTCCTTCATTTCAATCTTTCCCTTCCTCTCTTACAGTCTTAACCTAATTCCAAAGTAGTAGTTGATGGCTGGAATACCTTCTTCGTCTGTAGCACATTTTATCTGAAGGTTCAGAGATTTCTGCTAGAAAGCTAAAAAATCTCAGCTTTCAAATTACTTCTCTCTTCCAGATGCCTTTGCCAGCCCAGAAGGGAAAAAGTTTAATTCAAGTCACCTGGTGACCGACTCGGTGATAACGACTGCAGTTCAATAAATTCCAGCTCTCCACTCTTTCATCTCACCCCGTATCTAGTTGTGACATTTCTCCTTAAAGTCCTTCTGTTTTCAAAGAACTCTACGTGGAAAGTAGAGCTCCGAGTCCTGATGGATGTGCACAGCCAGCAAGGCAGATTTAGGAAGGGATCTTTTCTTGTGTTCAAGTGGCAACCTAGGGGGCTTGTCTCTGACATCACACAGCTATCAACAGCATGTGTATGAGAACAAAGGACCGAAATATTAACACCACTGACACATTTATATCAAGCATGAGGAGATCACACACAGTGGTGGTGGGTAAAGGTGCAAAAAGGTACGTGGTTTCCATCACGGGAGCCTGGGGAAGACTGGATTCCAGATCGCCACCCAACAGCTCCGTGACCTGAGACACGCAGGTTAACTTAACCTTTTGGAGCCTCACTTTCCTCTACTGTAAAATGGGGATAATGAGTGCATGAGGCAACTGTGAAGAATAAACGAAACAATGAAGGTCAAGTGATTGATGTAGGTGGTAACAACTGCTTTCTATACCGTTACCATCATCTCCTAGATCCCCTCTTACTGTTCTCTCCAACACAAGAAGTCAGTCCCCAGAGGGACACGTACAGAAGGAGGGAAGCCCACTCTGTCCTGCCAGGGCTGGGAGTGGGCAGTCAGCATGACAAAGAGTAGACTCCAAGGTGGGTGCAGGCCTCTCCTGTTTCTGCTGACTGCTGGGTGTCTGCAGGACAGCAAAGATTAGCTTGGGTTGCCTCTTGGGCAGTAAGAACCAACCCCCACTCTCATTATTATTTGTAAATAATGATAAAGAAAGACAAGGTGGCGGGGGGTGGGGGTGACTGGGTGGCGGGCACTGAGGGGGGCACTTGACGGGATGAGAACTGGGTGTTACTCTGTATGTTGACAAATTGAACACCAATAAAAAATAAATTTATGATACCAGCCAAAAAAAAAAAAAAGAAAGACAAGTAGACATGGTAGATATAAAAGGTGAAGACCAAGACATAACAAATAAAAGGAATTTAATAGTAATAGTTTTTTTTTCTAAAAATTGAGATCTCAGCTCATAAGTCTGTAGGCAGCAATAGAGCAGCTAATATGCAAGGATGTTTAGAAACTGAATTATCTCCCCTCCTGTGGAGATGGTCTGCTGGAAAAAGCAATGAAGCATGTTACCTGATGAATAAAGGACCTTTGTTTCCTGTGCTTTTAATCAAAATCTTTTCACCAAAATGTCAAAGAAAAACGAAGGAGTTAAACTTCTTTTAGCAAAAAAGAATAGGGTCTCATTTTTCCATCAAAGATAATGAGAGATCCTAGCAGTCGTAGGAAGGAGACGGAAGGCATGCATGGTGAGCAGTATTTATCATTTTATTCCATAGTACACGATAAATTCTGAGATTACATAGTTTTACCACTCAGCTTACTGAAGTGCTAAGTGTCTACTTAAGGAGATCGCTCCTGTTAAGATTAAAAGCCTTTCAAACAACATTCCCCCAAGTCCTGCAAATGTTTTCTTCCTCCCAATCCAGATAGGTAAATTTGTCAACTCAGTGTACCCAGTCAGGTTTTAAAAGGTAGATCCTATATTTCTGATGAACTAGGACTTCTTTCAATAAAGGATCTCATCCGAGGCCAGCCACATTCTGTCCCCAGTCCACATTTCCAGCTTTATCTCTCCAAATTCCCCACCACGGAGCCTTTCCTCTCCCAAGCCAGGCTATTTTCAGTTCCCAAAACATAAAACAAGCACCTCTATTTCCAGCTTATTGCTAA